ACATAAAGCGTACGGGAGATTATTGCCATTTCATGGAATGTTCCGCTTATTAAAACGTGCGTGCAGAATCGTATTTTAAGCTAATTTTTTTGTCTCAATTTTTTTTTTAGTCATAAATATATTTACAGTCGGACCTCTATTTAACGATGTTGCTAAATCCAAAAAAAAAAAAATGTTCGTTATGTGGAAAATTGGTTAAATAGAGATTCATCTTTTATTTATACTTTGAGATCATTAAAACAAATTTTAAATATTATTTTAAAAAGTAATTGTTCACACTTTTTTAAAGTTTAATATCTATTTCTTTTATATATTTTATCCATCAAAAAGAAATCTGCATAAAGAGCAACAAAAAAAAAAAAAAAAAAAAAAAATTCCAAAAATACATTGTATTTTCAATTTAAAAAAATATTTTTAGATTACAATTAATGAATCTTTTGATGACATTTTCACATTTTAAGCCATACATTATTCAGCCAGTAATTTTAAGCTTTCTCTACCACATACGTCCTTAAATTTAATTATTGATAAAATTTGTTAATTTTACTTGAGTTTTTTTTGTTTGAAAAATTACGGTAATTTCATTGCTCTAGGTCAGTGGTCGCCAAAGTGGTGGTCCGCAAGAAAATTTCACTGGTCTCCAGAAAAATATTCAAAGTACTTAATCATCACGTTAAGTTATGTTTTAAGATACATTGAAACATAATTCAATTCATAATAATACGTGAAAAGAAGGGACACCCATCACACTAGGAATGCATAATGCTAAAAACTTCATATACTTAAACCCCTTTGTTTTTACAATTTTTTTATTATGGTTTATTAATAAAGCTTTCATAATTTGGTTACAACTAATAGTTTCATTTTATTAACTAGGTACATTTTATGTGTTCTTAGATTACAATTTTTTTTATAAATATGTTTAACCCTTAAAAAATCGTATTAGTGGTCCGCGGGATTTAAATTATGAATTTACTGGTCCGTGAGGTCAAAAAGTTTGGCGTCCGCTGCTCTAGGTGACATAGGCACCTAGTACAACCAGTTCAAGGCCATTGATCACCATAAAATGTGATAAAAGAAAGTTCTTCAATGGCTCGACAGTCCTGGGTAGGCCCTGGCTTTCTCTAGAAGTTTTACTCCAGGCATCTCTACTTTTGGCAACTGTTCTCCAGTTTTTGACCTTTAAAATATTTAGGTCTTTTTCTTCGGAGTTAATCCATCTTAACGGGGGTTTACTCTGAGGTCTATTTCCCATGGGTTTTGCCAGAAAGATTTTCTTGCAGTAATGATCTTCATTCATACATTATTTTAAAACCCGTAATTTTAAGTATACATTACCACATGTACATCTATAAGTTTAATTACTGAACAAATCCGTTAATTTTATTTGAGTTTATTTGAAAAATTACGGCAATTTTGTTGTTCTAGGTGAGATAGGCACCTGGTAATACCAGTTCAATCCATTGATCACCATAAAATGGGTTAAAAGAGAGATTAATTTGAAATGTCCAGAAATATTTTTAAAATAGGAGGGGAAAAAAAATCGAATCACAAGAGAAAAATTTCTTTAAATAAAAAAAGGACTTCCTTATTTGGAGGTTATTTTACGAAGAAAATAGTAAAATGTTCTTGGTTCTAGGAAAAAGTTAGCAAAAAAAGAAAACTTCGCTAAGTAGGGGTTCGTAAAATGGAGGTCCGACTGTACTTTTAAGCGTTTTGACACAGTTGGCATTGCATTCAACAACGGTGTTTTTAAAGCTTGCAAAATAGCTCATTAATTTTTAAGAATTGACTTGTATCACAATCATTACATTTAATCTGTAATTTTCAAATGTTTTATATCAATGCTTATGCTGTCTTTTGTTTGCAACAACTTCAGATAAATTAGGTTCTCTCTTTAATCTTGGAATTTTATGATTTAGTTTATTTTTCTCAATTGCTTAGTGAATAAGTATTCAAAATAATTATGCTCTAATTTTAAAGATATTTGCTAAGTAAAAGAAGCTAAACATCCTCCCTCAAACATATCTAATTTTTTAGATATATAATAAAGCAGTTTCATATTTCTCTCGTCCACTAGAAGTTCTTTTTTCATCGATATTTTTTTAAAAATATATTCCAAACAGGAAGAAGTAGACATCTACGCATGCGATGTAGATAATATGTTTTGTTGTCATGAATATTGTGTGTACTGTTTTGTACAAATACCTACCTAATTGAATTCTTAAATTTATTTGTGTAACTTGAATTTGTGTGTTTCTACTCACCAATTTTAAAACATTTTATTTATACCTGTATGTATCAATTAGGAATTTAGCGCAACTTAAATATTTTAAAAGATTTATATTTTTTTAAAAATGATGTCCAAATTTAAAATGTTTTATTCTTTTCCATGTTGATATATTCTGTTCATAACATTTAGGTAACAGTAAATTTATTAATAATTTTATTCTATTTGAACATAAGATATTAATTTAATTTTTATTGACATTTTATCAAAAATTAATTATTATTATAAAAAATCAAAATTTCTGAATTGTTATGAATTATAAAATTGTCTTTTATTTTAATAATCTGTTGAAAGTATTTCCGAAATAACACAGTCTAGTGTTTTTAATCTTCATTATATATTAGAAATGAAAATTTTTTTTCTTTCACTGAGAATAATTTAACGGGGTTTTTTTTTTTTAGTTTCTACTATTAGTTCATTGTCTCCCTATATATATGTATATCTTGTTCAAATTTTCAATCGTTAATAAAACATTTTCTATTCACCCATTCAAGTTCAAATACTTTTTTAAAACTTCTTGTGGATGACACTTGATGTTAATACAATTTTTTCAAATATTAATTGATTAATTAAATGAAAAAATGGTAACAAACAAAAATAATAGTTCAACAGCATACATAGAAAGGAAAATCGTTCGTTGTGCACCTGCAGCGCTTTGGTCTTCTAATCGATAGGTCGTGGGTTCGAATCCCACCTGGGATGACCCGATTTCTGAGAATGCGATTTCTTTTTTACTATACTATTTTATTAGAATAATTAAGTTTAATTAATGAATAAATAGTAACAAACAAACAAAAAATAGTCCAATACCCTATATAGAAAGGAAAATGGGAAATTGCAAGGAAATTCGCTTTCTATTTTGATACTTAATATTGTGATTCTGTCATATGTATACCCATATTTATATTAATTGTAACTATTTAATAAAAAAGTAGCTAAAATAAAAAAAAAATTTGTTGACCTAAGTAGGAATTGACTTTATTTTCTTATATTTCTTGTTTGTTTGTAAAAAATGGAAATAGATAATGAAGTTCTGTTAAAAATCTTTATCTATGTAATTGAAGAATCGACTCTCATATAAAATTTTCATTGTTAGCTATTGAAAATATTTATTTCCGTTTTTTAGAATTTTCTAGCTAACTTTACATCGAGAATAAATTTTATCGAATGGCATATTTTCATTAAATTTTTGGAAATCAAACAAAAAAAATAAGAACGTGAAACATAAATATTGAGACATTTAATGTGATGGATTTATGATTCCTTTCAAACTTAATGATTGCCAAAGTCACCTTCACATTGTCGAAATCACGAAATTTTGCACACGATTTGGATGTTGAAAAAAAATTTAATGTGCCAGTTAAATTCAAAAGCAACTGTTTAGAATATATAGGTAGATGTAAATAGGGTTCCTTTATGTACACGCTTTTCCGTCGCATGATTTGTTTTCCAACTCGAATTAAAAGTGCGTATCGACTTGACATTATCAAAAACAATAGATGGCATTCGAAATTCTTAGTTATATATGAGCAATAAACTCGAATTCTGGAGAATATTTTATTATCTTCGAGCATAAATAAATTTTCGCATACCTGGCCTGCATATTGGGAATAGATTATAAGGCAGGATAGAGGTGTCAATGCCGTGATTTACGATCCATAAAATTCCAACCGTAAAAAAAAATTGAGAATATTACTGTTCACTTCCATCGCATTGTGTGCCTGGAACATAATTTTTGAAAGTTAAGTGTCTGTCCAATCTCTTTCTTCATCATTTTGATTGGTCCTCCTCGGATTTCTCATTTTCATTTTTTCTCGGTTTCTACATCGATGCACTTTTGTATATAAGTAAATGATGACGTTCTTGCACGCCAAGGAAAGATTATTTTTGCAAAATGGCGGATGAAAAAGGAATAGAAAGGATGCTGTTATGATAATTGATTCTCGAGTGGGGAGTGTTTCGAATGACTGTCCATGATTGTGTTGCTTGGTACTTTTGCTAATAGTTTTTAGGTTGATGGATGCAGTTTATTAATCGAACATCATTTTTTTTCTGAGAAAAAAAATTACTAGTACATGTAATTATAGTTATCAAGTAAGAAATGATAAAAAAACACACACCAAAAAACTGTTAAAGCTGACTTGTAAAATCAACTAAGGGACTTGAAAATATGACTTACGAGAATACGTAAAAAAATACTTCATGAAAGTGATCACATAAATAAAAAAATAATAATTTTGCGGTTAATTATCTGTTTTTGTAAAAATTGGAATGGATTGAAAGGTTCTCATCTAGAGGATTAAGTACGGGCTTTCAGCTCAAAGAATACCTTAGAAAAATATTTTTTTGAGCATTTTTAATTTTCCAAATCTAAGTGCAATGAGTTTTTCTGTTATTTTTTTTAAAAAAACTAAGTAGTATATATAAAAAAAAAATTAAGTCAATTACTACAAAGGTCAACAAAGAAAATTTTTAATTTAGTTACTTTTTATTAAATAGCTACAATTAAAATAAAAATGCATATAGATATAGACAGAATCACAATATTAAGTGACAAAGTAGAGAAAGTGACTTCCTTGCAATTTTCCATTTTTTTTTCTTTAAAGGGTGTTGGACTATATTTTTGTTTGTTACTAATTATTCATTAACTAAATTTATATATTCCAATAAAATAGTATTATAGTAAAAATCACATTCTCAGAAATTAGGCCATCCCAGGTGGGATTCGAACCCATGACCTATGGAATCGAAGTCCAACACGCTATCCATTGCGCTACAGGAACACACGGAGCAATTTTCCTTTCTATATATGCTGTTGGACTATTATTTTTGTTTGTTTCTATTTATTCATTAATTAAATAGAATTAATGAATTAATATTTGAAAAACTGTATTAACATCAAGTGTCACCCACTACAAGTTTAAAAAATGTATTTGAACACTTGAATGGATGAATAGAAAGTATTTTATTAACGATTGAAAATTTGAACAAGCTATATATATATAGGTAGAGAGTGAACTAATAGTAGGAATTCAAAAACCTGAAAAAGCCCCTAAAATATATTTAGAAATTGGTATAAATGAAGGTCGTTAAGACAAAAATCCATTGTATGTGTGCCTTATTCTGAGGACCATAATTAAGATCTGTGTGCAAGGTGGCTTGTATGATACCTACAAGATTATATGTAATTAAAAGTCAGGCTGTTATCAACACATTATCGTCTAGAATGCGATTCTGTCTTAAATCTCTATCTTTAGTACATAAACATGCGATGAATCTATATCACCTTATTGTGAACGCCCTTCCTAATTCATTCCAAGTAATCTCATATGATCTGTTGTTTTCTGCTGCATAAAATGCGCAAATTTTCGCGCGCTGTATAATGATGGCTTGTAGTATCTAGAGATTAACTGAACTTAAACATGATCATAGTGAATTTAAAATATAACTAGCGATTGCCTTTATTAAAAAAAAAAAAAAAAAAAAAACACTAATCATCCACTAATAGCTCATCTTAAGAAACCGTCAAGATGTGATATAAAATGCGTGCTTGCTTGAGTAATTAATGTTTTGAAGATGATTAACAGAAGCAAATGTTTTTATTTTTGTATCGTTATCTGAAGAAACTTGACCTTTACCTTAAAAAAGTTAGGGATGCGAAACAAATGTTATGAACCAATAGAATGTTTAAATATATGCTTATTATGACTCATAAACCTGATAAGGACAGCAACGCAGTATTCGGAATTATGGCACACACAAACTCAAATTAAAGGAATGGCCCCTTGACCCCCGCTCGTTAAAATTAAATGTTAAATAAATAATATTCAACAATGAGCTTCTGGGTCAAATATGATTCATATTAAATTTTTTAAAAATTTGTTTTATATTTATAAATTAGAAATTACTAAATTTTTATCATTAAAATTATTTTGTTTACTAATTCAGACATAGATTCGGCTTTTATTTATTTGAATGGAAAATGAGTCATGTGTTTCTTTACTACCTGAAAATTATTTACATAAGATCGGGAAAATAATTTGTTAAAGGAATAAAGTCCATTGAAATTGTTTAATTTGCTAGAATTTTAACTATATTATATTTCTAATTATCAAATTTTCAATATTTGTATTATTTTTTAAAAGAATATGCTGAAGCGTGTCCAAAATTTAGGACATCATCAATTTAATTTTATTTTTGGAATAATTAAATACACGCATTATTTCTCATACATGTATATATATATATATTTCATTTTAAAAATTTATTAGGATTTTAATATAATACCGCTTTAGAGCTGGTTTAATTTTTAATTGTCTAAATAAATTGGGTTGATTTTGTGTTTATGACGGGGAAAAATAATCAGTATTCGGGAGAACCTATTTTTCCGATAAACATAAGTTAAAGATACACTAATTAATTGTCTTGGAAAGTATTATTTAACTCTTATTTATACTAGCTATTATCTAGTAATTATATTACTAGCTATTATCTTTCAAGTATTTTCTCATATGGTTAATCATTTTAATAAGCAACTGCAACGGTAGTTGCCGTGTGTGTGTGATTGTTGAAAATTACAATGCTGACGCATTGAAAGATTGTTATAGTATCATAAATAACAAAACTATTGGATTACCCTTTTGCGTCTATGTGAATGAGATTTTTTTATAGCAATAAATACAAGGACTTGCAGATTAAAATTATAGTATATAGTGTTTATGAGGCTAATCACTATCTACGAATGTTAATAAATTCATCTTTGTGAAATATTTGAGAAGGCGCTGTAATTTTATTTAACGTATCAATCATAGTGTTGCGTTCAACATCAGCATTATGACAGATATCATGTATACCAGAGGTGAGGAACCCGCGGCCTCTGTGAGTTTCTTGTGCGGCCTTCATAAAAGCTAGCACTTGTGTCAATTATATAATATTTAATTATATATATTACTACAATTCTCAAATTAATGAAATTAAAGAAAGAACAGCGTGAATGCATGCTTGTCTACTTATGGGAATGGCCAATTGTACATTTCAAATGTTAGAACGCCACCAAGTGCAACACGGCAACACAATCAGAGATGTTATATGATCTTGTGAAAATGCCCCCCTTGGGTGCCCTTCTCTTAGATTACCTGCGTGAGCTAGAGGTATAGGGTTAACTAAAGAATGAGAAGTAGCCATGCTCTTAATATGACTTTATTAAGAACTAGAACTTACACCTTTAACAGATTACAATGGTTATATATGTGAGAATCTACGATGAACAAACACACAATACAAGTAATATCGAAATAACCTTACTCGGACCACTATCAATATCTATAATCCACCTAATCTCAATTCCAATAATAACATGCCCTAATATTAAATAGTCAATCCTACCTTAATCCAATCGTAGCTCCGATACTAGGGAGTGGCGTCTTAACGCGAGTGCAATGATATGCACCTTGACCTAATGGCTCTACGGAATAACCTCCGTTGGCCGTCCTTTCACAATTGTATCAATCTCTCATATAACATTCCCCAAATTGCCATTTCACTTACTGAAACTTCTGTTATTTAAAAGCTATCTAATTTACATTTAAGCTTTACGTTTCACTTCTTGGGTTTTAGTTGGAAAAGAGTTGCCATTAATCTTGGCCCCAAAAGTACCCAAATGACATGTTACAGAAAAGACGCGTGAGCCCGTTACAATCTCTACACAAAAACTTTCTTTCTATTATTGTTGTAACTGATTCCACGTACGTCAAACGTATTTTTTTTGCATGAATGGCATTTAAATATTAATGAAATATTTTATTATAAGTTTCTGTTGACCGAGATACAACAATTTTGTACTAAAAAGAACGTTTATGGCTTATCTTATGTAAATTTGGTAATGTGTTGGTAAACGACTCGTCTCGTGCTGCTTACGGCCATTGTAAAAATCTAATTGTTTTACTTATTCTATGGTTTTACTAGTTCATTTGTGTTATTGTATCTCTAAGAAGTATACGCTTTCATAGAGAAATTATTTAATATTCGTCCCTTATGTGAATACAAAAATATTCTATACTGTAACATTTTCTGTCAAATAATAAATAAATAAGAATTCAATTTTTTGTTTTGTTTGTTTTTTTGTAATATTTCTATAAAATGCACCAAATTGTTAAAATTGTAAAAAAAACTACAATATAATAATTTCATAAAAGTCGTATTAAATAAATCATTAACTTGTGCGGCCTTCTTTATTACAACCTACTTTACATGTGGCCTTTAATGGTTAAAAGGTTCCAAACCTCTGGTGTATACGATCATGCGTGAAAGTATTTAATAGCATTAAGTGCAATTCTCTGATTATCAAACGTGTCGGAATCTCCGCCTTAAAAATAATTTAATCATATCATACGAACAAACGCTTAGAAGAACAATCGGCTCTAATGCCATTCATTCATAATAAGAATGTTTTCCTGAATTATCTTGGGATATTAAGTTTCGTACTCTACTCGTGGAAACTGATAAGGACGCTTGCCCTGCCTTTAACTTTCTTGTGATTTATACGTCATTACTACGCCATTCTTAATCGAAGTGACGGAAGGAAGTGATGCAACTGAAGTTTAGAAGCGCGTGTGCACAGAATGTGCCTGCCAACCGAAAAAGTCGAAGACAATTACTCTGTTGTGAGGTGTGTTTTATATATTTGTTGAATGGTTAATTTACTAATAATGGTTGATTATCTTGTATTTACTAATATAGTTATTTACTTGTATTTAGTTAATTGTAAAAATATTTTAATGTGCAGTTGGACCCCGAATTAATGAATTCATCGCGACCAAACATTTTGTTCGTTGAATCGGGTGTATTCGTTATATCGGGTCCAAACAAATACCATTTTTTTACACTTATCTTTTGAAAATTCTATAATAAACAACTACACAAAAAATATTCATAGTGAGAAATTACGCGCTTTTTATTGAACAACTGAAAATACTATTAGTGATTTATTATACACTAGTCAATTGGAAAAATTTTAAAATACTAACTAATAGATGTTTGACAATCTTTTTGATTTCTTTCTCGAAAGTGTTCTTTTGGCGACTTTATGCAGAATAGAATGGTAGAATGCTTATTGGGGCACATGATCTCGAATGAGGTCTTGATCCCCTATCATAAAAGTTATTTTTGAGCATTAGTGGATCATTTGTCATGATTGAGGGGTAGTTAAAAAATTTAATAAAAATTGAAAAGATAAAGAATTTTAATTGAGAAATTAAAATTAATAATTAAAAGTTAAAGATACAATTAAAAATAGGATTGTGATCTTTAATTAAAATTAAGTAGCTGGAGCTAAAATTGTCTGTGTTAAATACTGCGTCATTTGCATCCTGTTGCATAAGCAGTGGCGTAACGTACATCCCCGCATCGCGGGGGAGCCCAGGACCTTAGGAGGCGCAAAAAGTATGGTTTTGCAATCCTTTGTAATATCCGACTTGGGACCCAAAACCTGACTTTGCAGGGGGGGGGGGGGGGGAATATTCTCCGTTACGCCATTGTACATGAGGTATGTTTACACAGTTACCAAACAATATGAAATATTAGAAAATGTAACAGTTTTGATAAGAGTTTCATTGTCGATTTTTGCATCGCTGGTATCGACAAATCAACAATTTTCTGAACTTGAGTTACACAGATAAGCAGTCCGTCATCAAGTGTAATATGATCGTTAAAATCTTAAAATATCCCTTGCGTTGTGGAGTTGGATCAGATAAGAAGGGAGTTTCGTGTCCTATTCAAAACTCAC